TCTGCACGACAGGAAAACAGTATAGATTATGAGATACTGGAGAAGACTGAAAATTGCTCATCTTAATTTCCTCTGTACAGGTTACCTACCAAACAATCAGGGTTGGCTTCTGTACATCTTCCCCCAGCGTCCCACAGCAAAGGGAACTGGCTTCTTTAACGAAGGAAAATTATTTTCTACCTATGTATCTCCACAGGTCTGAAAATATTTATACCCTTGAACATATGTACACATCAAAAGTTTCCTAGTGCTCTTGCACCAACTGCAGAGCAGCAAGATGCTTACTTTATGAGTTTCTGAAAAGACAGCGCATCCTACAGTTGTAAACTTCAAGATACTTCATGGTGTAAGCCCAGAGAAGCATCAAGCACCTGCAATGCCAGCCAGTTTCCAACTCAGCCCAGGTGAGCAGGAACTCCTTCAGTGCCTGCTCCCCTTACTCCCACCGCTGCTCCTCATTCAGTGCCCACAAACACCCCAGGAGCCCAGGCTGCGGCTTCCGCTACGAACGACAGGATTCTACTTACGGGTCATAGATGCAGTTAGGAGTGAAAGAATGGTTGGCCTTATGCCCCAGCGAGGCACAGTACTTGGCGGCGTGGTTGTAGGGCTCTGGCACGTCTATGACTGTTTCATCATCCAGGGATATTGTATTTCCATTGAGGGCCCAGTCTCTGCTGTCTACCTGGTTTGGAAGGCAAAAATCCATTGTGTGGAAGGGTCAATTTTGCCAGCAGTTTGAAAGCAAACATATATGCAATTAAAGGTTTCCCATAAGTCACGGGAAAAAATAAAACCCTACCCAAACAAACCACCACTTTTTTTCTATGTACATAGGGGAACATGCACTTTCTTAGAACCAACTCCATCCTATTAAATCTTCGGGGTGGGAGGATGTGGGTGTCAAATCCTACTATAAGAAGATTATTTCAGAAGGAGCAATGAAAATTCAGACTGACTTTTTTCTTTCCTTTACCTCCTGGTGTGTAATTCGCACTCCATTGTAAAAGGACATAACTGTCCTGGCTTCTGCTGCGATTTTCGAAAATAATCCTTCTCCAGCACTGGAAATGAGAGAGACATCAACATACACCCTACAGTGGGAAAAGGACATGGAATTAGTGATTGGCTCCAGTTTTCATTTTCAAGTAGTATTATCACAACACTACTGGCATAAAGACTAATACTTAAATATTATTATAATAATAATAAACCTAATCATAATAATTCAAAATCTCCAAATGCAACTCCTCCTCCTTCCTCTTGTCTGTATATTCTATTTTGGCAAAATGGAGATTTGGTGGGGAGTGGGGACTGACTTTACCTGTTAGTTTGAATTTTTTTTTTTTTTAAGTGCCAATCTACTCTTAATCCTCAATGCTGGCTTGAATTCAGCAACAACTAACTTGCCAGAATCCCAGAGGCCCCCACGAAATGGAGGCTACTGGTGTGTACATGCACAGGTGAGCAGGAGTTTTCAAGGTGGATCCCTAGATCTTCAAGCACTTGATGTAAATTAATGCCAGCATTTTACTAATGGTTTAGATTATTTCCGAGTATCAGAAAAGGATGGCAACTGACCTATCTACTGAGCAAGGCCTCTTAGAAGGCTAGGTAAATAGTGTAATTGTGGAATAGCCATGGAAGAGATATCACTGTCGGACTACGATGAGACAATTGCTGAGGAACGCGTTTTGACATGACAGGGTTATCACAAACAGTACTTCGCTTTTCTCCAGCTTGCTGATTTATGCTTGCCACTTTGCTACATCTGGAGGGAGGGGATAAACCTTTGTGCAACTTACGCCATCCAGCGAGACACACTAAATGCAGCGCACCATGATCTGAAGCTAGTTACGCATCTAGAAAACTGGGAACGGCATACTTTTTTTTTTTTGCTCGGAATACTGTGTATGTGGGCTATTAGTGGAGTCCAGGACTCATCTGAACACATCTTTGAAATGCTAAGAAACTATCCTAGTTTAATCTCTTAAAAAGCATTGCTGTGTTCTACCCGCCAGAGTGCAGTTTTATTGTGCAAATCAGCACGAAATTCAATCAAGGCAAACTGATGTGCAGTAATGGGTTCAATTTCACAAACCCTCACGCACTTGGAAATTTGAAGTGAAAAAATGTTTGTCAAATCAGGCCCTAAATATGTAACAGCAAAGAAACAGGGACAATATTGAAAGAGGGGAGAAAAAAAAAAGCCTACCTCTCCGACTCATAAGGATCAGGAAGAAGTGCATTTGTAGAAATGCAGGATGAAGTAGATTTGTCAAAACTGTATGCTGGGCCTAAAAAAAAGACCAGAAATCAACAAAGGAAATAAACTAATTGGCAGTACCAAAAGCACGCAACCCTTAACTTAATCAAGACATTCAAAAATTAAATCTTAATGACTGCAAGAAATCAATATTATGCTTCCAAAAAAAAAAAAAAATTAAGTAGAACTGCACCTGGAAAAGTTTTTCCATGAGACACTGTTTCTCGATTTTTTTTTTCTCCTCAACACACTAGGGTATCAGTATTGTCACACAGAGGTGACATATATCTTCTTCAAACTACCAACTTTTAAAGGAAGACTGGACAGTCTTTCAAAACTGACCCTCCCAGAGTCTCTAACTAAAATTAAGAAGTAAAGCCAAATTTGAAAGGATAGATTCAATAACACATTAATTATAAAAAAATCTTAAACTATTTCAAATATTAAATGTTTTCTACTCCAAATCCTGAAGAAACGTCAGCCAGTAGATAATGTCCAGTAATCACAAAGTAGACTTCCTACAGTCATTTATTTGCCTCCATTAATAAGCAACTCAGTGGTACAGCGTGAACCATATCCTTACATCCTTCTCCAGTCAACTGCCAGAGGACTATCTGGAAGATCGGCTGTGGTGCAGGTGGAAATAAGATGGAAAAAACCCCAAAACACAGTATTACAGTGCTCCTGGCATTCTGGCTGAAGGCAGCTTCCCCCACAATGTATTTCAATCCTAGTTACAAAGCACAACTGCACCCTCTGAGTAGCTACCCTCTCAGTTACACTTTGATTTGCTCTCACAACTGAACGATTTATAAAATAAAAAGTCACATGCATTCGCCTCTCAAGAACATAAAACTGAGTGAAAAGGCATTACTTCCTATCAAGCTAGACAATCTTTGCTGGCAAAACAGTAGATGTGTTAGCATAGTCCCTGTTTACTACCCATGGCCCTGCCCGCAGCTTAAGGCATGCCCCTCCAGAACACCACACGCAGCTACTCCAGTACTGTTGGCACTACTGCCCTGGAGAAGCAGCACTGGCTACACGGGTGGAAGGCACCACCCTGACCCCAATCACTTCACAGACACTTTCTATCAGCAGGACTAGACAGACTGAAATGTCCTGGTCAGTCAGAATGTTACACAACAACTCAAGCTCGTTCACTAATTCCAATCCCTGCCACCTGTCAGCACCGTAATGCAGATGCCAGAATATTCACAGTGCTGGTATTCACTTGCAGGAACCCAACTGACAGATCCACAACCAAACCACAGCCTCCCTTCTCCACTTTTAGTTATTTTACTAACAAAACTAAGCCTGTAACTGCGCCAGCGTTAACACGGTTAAGCAGGTTTTCACGCTGGTGCAGACGGCTGCGCCCATAAGCTTGCAAGAGAAGGGTTATGAAATGCAGTTTGGCATTCCTAGTTGTTCCCAGCACAAAGGAATCACTCCACGTGCCTTTGTCCAACTCTGTAATTTAGAAAAAGGGCTTCTCACCAACAGACTTCTCACAGCCAGCCTCTAGCGTCTCTGATGGGGAACGTTACAGAACCCAAGCTGTTTGCAGCAAAGAGCTGGTAGGGAGAACACAAGTTTCTGTGTCAGCTGAACTTACTGCCTGGGACTACTTCAAACTGAGGCTTCCCATCCTCGACAGATGTCAGAGTTGCCAGTTTTGCTTCTATCATTTCTCCATCTATGAACCTTCCAGAATATGCAGTCTTTCCATCAGGGTACACATAGGCTATTTTCTCTCCAGTCATTTCCCCTTCTTCATTCACTTCTCCCACAAGGCTGCCTCCATCCTGAAAGCACAGGCAGGAAAGGAAAGGCAGAACATTCAGTTATACTTAAATATCTTGAGTAAAGGAAAAAGATTTCTCCCAACTTTTGAAAGAAGCTATCTAAGCTACAGTAAGTTCAGATACAACATCATGAAAATGAGTGAGAAACAAACACCTGAAGAAGTTGAGTGAAATCATTCCAGCCATGAGAAAACTAATAAAAGAAAGGAATGAAGGGAGTTTTTTTATGTTGTTTGAAATACGAAAAACCCAGGGTCTTTCTCTCTTTGTGAAACAAATACTGAGCTTCAACTGGCAAAATTTTAATGTGAACAGCCTGTGAACCAAGGCCCAAAGCCACATGCAAACTTTGTCTGAGCCTTCTTAATATGATACTGTGCTGGAGGAAAGGAAAAATTAAAACGCTGCCTTGTTCGCTGACAATTCATGGTATACCAAAAGGCTTAAGCCTATTAAAAAAAAAAAAAATGACAAATGATAAAGATTTGCTGGACAACTGGAGAGTTTGTCTGTCACCACCATCCTCCAGAACGTCAGGCAGCACTCCATAAGAACAACTATTTGCTGAAAACCACCAGCAGCAATGCTTTTCCTCTCTAAGCATTTCAAAGTTTAGCCCTGGGCTTTGTCATCTGTGATTTGCCTGCAACTCCAGTTAGGTCTGCTTACAGAACTGAAGAATGAGATGCATAGATTAGCACAGGTCTAATGACTTCAGGTGTTTATTTCAAAATGGCCAAGGAAACATTTCAAGTAGCTCAAGTAACGCGTTTTTTACCAGCAGGAAGGATGTGGAAACGGACTGGTTTAGCTCAAGACGGCTGTGCACAGACTATTTCAGAGTGGCACCCTTTCGTTCAACTCCAAGGATGAAAGAGCTTCAAACACACCACAGTAAGGAATGAATAACCTTAAAATGTATGCACATAGTATCATGCACAACACCATGCATAAAAAATTGCTTCCACAGCAAAGGTGGTTTTTTTTTTTTAACACTTTGCATCCCTTCACCTGGCAAGATGATAAACAACCTCTAAACATCCACATTTCCAGAAGGTACAGCAACACTTTGTCAACAGGAAGGTTAAACAGTAGACATATGACCTGAGAGGGGAATGGGTGGGTGGGGGGTGTGGTGTCAGCTGTGTGTGTTTTATACACTAACACTGAAAACTGCTACTTGTGTGACAGCGTACAGCAAGCATTTGCTGATTCTAACACATGCTTCGTGGCAATAGTGAAGACTAGAAAATAAAACAAACAGCCAACGGTGAGCATTTGAAATGAATCAGCAACCGAAGCACATGCCATACCTAGCACAGAAATAGACTGGGTTTCGGCCAGCAGCTTAATGACACGCAGATACCCCTCCTCAGCACGAGGTAAAGATTGAAAGATGCAAGTCTGGAGCGTTGCGTAAGGCTGACAGGAATTAAAATTAAACAAAAGTAATATCTGATTTGTTGGGGGAAGCCAGGCTTCACAACATACCCTGCAGAAGTGGGCATCCTAGTTAAAGAGCAGCAGGAGGTTGCAATGGCTTATTTAACTGCCTTTATCTTGCCCCACATGGGGGTTTTTTCCATCTTACTTTCTCCACCCCCTGTCCTGCTGAGGAAGAGAGTGATAGAGCAGCTTGGTGAGCACCTGGCGTCCAGCCAGGGTCAACCCACCACAAACTGTATGTTGGATTATCCCAAATCAGAAGGCACAGAACTTCCACACAGATTTTTGCGTGTTGGACTTTTGGATAGCTGGATCATGACAAATGTTTGTTGCAGCTGCGAAGAAAAGAAAGATACATAATGGTACTGTTCTGCAATAAAGAGAGCAGGTGGTCAGGCTTACCGGGTAATAAATCCAACAAACTCCATGTCGAATGTTGTCTTTGTACTGCCCTTTGAAGATCAGCCGCCCATCGCTGTCATACTCCTGGGCTGGCCCATTCAGCTCTCCATCCACGTATGTGCCATGAAGGACCACTCCATCCTCATAAGTGTAGATTCCCTGGCCTTGCAGGGCGTCATCAACATAGTACCCTTCCAAGGTGCTGGTGAAGAGAGAAAGAACACAGCAGTGGAAGACACATCACCTCTCTAAGAGGTGAAGCCAAAGCCTCGGCAGGCAGCACAGCACGACCCTGATCCTCTGCTCGGCAGTCTGTGTATAATTGGTCCAGAAATGCTGAGGGGAAACCTTCAAGAAAGTCGGGTCCTAGGAGGTAACTGTTGACACCCGGGTTGCTACTGCTGGGTACCCTCCAACCCCCCCAGACCGCACACTGCCACAAGTGCAGCTTTTCTTCGCTTCCTCGGCGGCCTCTCTCCAAGAGCCCAGGCTGTCGGGGGGCAGAGCGTTGCGCAGGCGGACTGAGAGCTACGCTGAAAGGCTTGGTGGCAGCTGCCAGGGCTGCCTCGCTGGGACGTTGCTTCCAGCCTCTCCTCCATCACCCACCTGGCATCACTACGCCCCACATCTGAAGCTCTGATGTGTTTGCCAGTTTCAATCAAAACTGACGGGGAGGCAGAAGGTAAACCTGACCTCTCCGGAAAGCCAAGATGAAAACCAAACTTTTTTCTATGGCCCTCCAAAGCATGGCATTATTCACCTAAATTGCATTGCTGAGCTTCTTTTCTATAGGCCGAGGCAGCAAATCACGGCAACGAATGGACGCTCACGGTCAAAGAGGAAATTATTAATCAAGCAGGCTACTCTTATGTTAGGATTTTCTACCTCCTGTGCCTGGATCTTCACTAACACCTCTCTGGTGAGGTGAAATGGGACTGCTGTACAGGTGGACTGCAACAGGGCACAAACCACAACCCGCTGCCAGTCCCCTAGTGATACACTTGGCAGCGATCCGTACCGGATTTGCTAAAAGCACCGTCATTTTTCCTCAATTTCTATTAAAATGGAACGCAGCCTGTCAGACAGAACTAGTGCTGCACTTGGATTTGAACAAAGAAACGTTTCATTTCAGTTTTGTCTTGCAAACCCTTTAGAAGAGGCACAATAATATCCTGCCATCTGCTTTGCTGCCGCTCTTAAGAACGGCTGCTGAGAGAAAGCACACATAACTAAAATAGAATCTACTCAGTTATTTCTTACTCAGGTTAGAACTAGCATAAGAAAACACAAACTGGTTAGCTTTTACCCCAGCATCTTTAGCTCACAGCCAGCTGCAGCAGTCATACTTTCACTGCACAATTCTTCTGATGCAGACTTCTAAGGTATAAGCCCAAACAGTGTCCGGGAGCACATGACTCCACATGTTTTACAAAACATTTTCAGTTGTGGAAGGAATGTTGTCTCAATTAACTTCCTGGTTACTAAAACTTCACTCTGTTTTTACATAGCTTTGGCAATCTGGCTGAGGTTTCCATGGGAAAATACACTACAGTAAAAGAAGGTACATTATCCGTGACAGACAGTACGTTTAGAAACAAGACTTCAGCTTTGGTTTTTCATAGCTCCCTTCACAGCAATGCTGTTTTAAACAGGTCCTTTCCTCATGCCGTGCATTGTTCCACAGCAATGCTCACACAGCCTCAATGCAAACCAGATGCAGAGCAGGAAGGGGCAGGAAAGCTGTTTTACTTTTCAGTTGGATGAATTTCTTGATCCAGGTTGCTACAGAGCTGTACAGACAGCTACGGCACCACAGCACAGGGAAGGAGCAGAGCAGATGAGGGAACCACCAGAAATCTGTGCACTTAGTTGACTATAACTGACACCACTTTCTCCTCTGGTTTATCACAGATCACCAGATTTCATTTTATTCCAGCTGGCACCACACACAGAGTCCACATGTAGGATTACTCTTTAAAAGAAGCAGCCATCCGCAGTTTATGTAATGAAGCAGGCAAAAAAAGCTACCTTTAATGGTATTAGCTGAAGTTAACAAGATGCTAAATTACAACAGTGATTCAGCACTGGAAAAAAGATCTTTTATTGTAACTCAATTTTCTAGGTTTTCTTTCTGTATTAAGCTCCGAACAATGCCCAAAAGACCTCTTTCTACTCTCATGTCATCTAACAAAATCAACAGAAAGATATCTAAACAAAGGATTCCATGTCTTTAAACCTCACTTAAAAAGTCAGGTTCTCTAAAACTTCTATACTTGCAGAGTTTTTGGAATTCTGTTCCCCCCACCCTCTTTTTTTGGGGGGTGGGAGGCAGGGGAGGTGTTGATTTTTTTTTGTTTGCTTTGGTTTAAAGTTCTCAGAGTATGGTATCTGCAGCCAGACACAATAATTGCAACCAAGACCTCATCACCAGAAAGAGGAATGAACAGCTCCTGTGTCTTGCACAAACAAAATCTTGTTAATGCAAACCCTGAGCTAGCCCATACTTTTCCTGTTTGGTTCTCAGATTATCGTATTGAGCGCAAAGTTTTACTATAGTCAAGATTTCTCAGGTGTACTGTCTTCCCATTATCTACCAAGCAGAAAAGGGGATCTAGGGTATCCGCTACCTAGAGAATAAACCAGTGATAAGACTGGGGGGGGGCACCAACACTTACTGCAACATGCTTCCAGGTATGAAGTTGCATTGACAGACCCTGACCCATTCATCCCCTGATCTTCCACCTTTCCCTCTATACTGGAACACGGAAAAGTCTTTCTTAAAAATAAAACTGTTCCCTACTGCGTTCTGGGAGATGTCAGTGCACAAGAGTTTCCAGTTAAGGCAGAAGAGCAGCCGCAGCTCAGTGCCAAACACGGCTCGCAGGGACTGCGCCAAGTGTTGCGTGAAGTGCACTCCAGCAAGCCTTAGCACAAGTGCAAGATCCAAAACAGGAAGTACGCCAGAGGTGAAACTTCTCCCTCTGAAAGAGCATTTTGGGTTTTGTTGCATTTTTGAAGGGGGAGGAAAAAAATACTAATATTTCATCCCAGGTCTCCACTCCCTTAAATAATCAACAGGAAGGGGGCAGCTATTCCAATAAAAGGAAAAGTTTTCACTGAGGCAAACAAGACAGCCAGACAATCAACACTATTTCCCAACACCCAGAAAATGAGAACACTTACATTGCTGCCAGTCCAGTGTCTGACAGGATTCAACTATTCCCAAACAACAGACCTACAGTAGTTCAGCTGTCAGCCTTTACCAGCAGCCTGGGAGACAGACCCAGGAATGCTGAACCTAGCTAACTTAAACACTGAAGCACACAATATTGTAAGAGGAGGCGTGTTTTGAGAAATTTTGTGGATGCGAACAGCACATCCTGTTTTATGCCAAGCCATTCTTCCTGCAACATGCCGTGACACCTGAACTATCCGCTTCAGAGAGCAAATTACTCTTGCTATCGAGGTGTAGCTAGGTAAATTGCAATGTCTTTAGTAACTCATCACTGCTCTGTTAAGGCTGCTTCAGCTAAATTAACATTAGGACAGTTTATAAAAATATCCCATTTTCCAAAACCACGCTACAGACTATTTCTGTGTATTTTCATTCTGCTAGTTCCTGAAGTCACACAGTAGCCAACTGTTCCATTTTTTTCAGGGTTATGAAAATTAAAAAAAAAAAGTTGGCGACACTGAAGAGGTACAGAAAAAGCTCAGCAGCAATCTGAGTTCTCCCACAGAGCACTGCCTGTACCCTGGATTACTTGGAGAAGCAGCCCTACAAACAAAATACTGGGTCAGTTTCTCTGCCTGTACAATCAGCAACTGCTCTGCTGAGATCAACAAGCACAGAAGCACTGTGTACATGTGTCCATAGAGATGCTGTCTGCCAACCTAAAAAAGGCTATTTTAGAGAGGTCAGCTGCTAGGCAGTACTGATTTTCAGTTACTCACACAAGATTTGATAAGCCCACTACCAACAACAGTGGGGATTTTTCTTCATCCAAGCTTGGAGGCCTGATGGGTTTCTGCATAACTGAATAAATACATTATCCTTATCATGAAAAAAAACCCCACAATCCCCAGTATGAAGCAATTGCAAAGGCAAGTACAGACAAGGAGCTGACTCACTGAGACAGCACAGTACCTCTGCTCCTGCTCAGAAGTTCACTGAGCAGGAGGAGAATAGACCCAGCACAACTGTCAGTTTAATGGCTGCTATTCATAGTGCCACCGACAGCTGCAAAACCATGAAGAATTGTGTCATTTTATACATCTGTTGCTTCTTTGGAGGAAGTTCTGAGCAACTGCAGAGAGAAATGCTGCAGCTGGGGGAAGACGTACGAGGTGTTCACAATGAAGACCTGAGAAGAAAACACATGCATAGGCACAGACTAGCTCAATTTCACTGTCACAATTCCCAGGGAGGAGAGGGGAAGTTATAGGGGCTTTTCTGAAAATAAATCAAGCCACAGGCAACTTGCAGGGGATTAGGCAGAGTTGGGAACAAGCCCGTATTTAACTCAGTCCTTTAACCACTAAACAATTTCTGAGACCAGTCAGGTCAGCCTTTCTGCCAAGGTCCTACGTCTGCGCATGAGGCCTGGCACAGCCCAGTCCAGCTGGAAGTCTGTACAGGGCTAAAAGACACACAAAGAAATCCACCTGCGGTTATGGACTTGAACTTTGTAGTCCAAATCCTTATCACCATTTTTTCCAATAGCTCTGACTGCCCTCTCCATTCTTATGGTCTCTAACTAGTTCATAACTTCACAGTGCTAAAAAAGCTCACAGTGCTGCATACTCCCACCAGGAAACGACTCCGGGCATCACGTTACCATGCATAGCCCCCGAACCTATGGCTAGAGCAGCAGCAGAGGAAACTTTCCAGGTGGAGTTTTTAATGAGAAAGCTTATCCAGAAACTCAGCAGCATACAATCAATGAGCTTTAGTTGTGCATCACTGCAAGCAGGAGGCAGAATATAGAAGAAAAATCGAAGAGTCGGTATCTACCTTCCATCAAAGAAGAAGAACTTGCCCCGGCCATTCTTTTCTCCATGCACAAAGTTTCCCTCAAATCTGTCTGTCGATGAATAGGTGACTGTACAGAATCCATGTGGCAACCCATCATCATCTAGATGCCCTGAAATAAAACCCAAAGAGCAAAAGAACACATTAAACGTTATATAAAATTGCAAGCCTGATCTGATTATGTAGATGCTTGAAATGCAGGAGCTCCCTAGTGCAAAACAGTAATCCACATCAAAACATTTCTGTTGGGAACAGTGATCAGGGATTCAGTACAACCGAAGTCTGTACTTGTCTAACACACTGCGCTTAAAATAAAAATTAAAAAAGGTCAGGGTAGAAGAAAATTGATGAGACATAGAAGACAGAAGAGAAGAATAAGCAAAAATATATGTTTCTAAAAGAAAAAGTTAATACTATTCTAACTTGCATTAACACAAGTCTTCAAAAATATAACAATTCATTATCCAAAATATGTATTTCCTGGTGAGAACAGAATAGATTGATACTTCAATCCACCATGTAAAGGTTTGGTTTTCTCTTTGGATAAATACATGCCTTATAAGAATGTGGGTGTGCCACCTCATAGCTATATCCATAGGAATTTGAGGAAATAAAAGCACATAATATCTGTAATACTATGCTCTTGCAATATGTCCTTCAACTTGCTTATTTCATATTTTAAATGCTGCTCTCCCGTGCATTTTTGATGTGTTCAGATTACATCCCCTTACCCCATTCCCTTTCCTAGCCATATCAGTTTTCCCATTACAGCTGCTGCACAGGGGGAAAGCAGAGGGGCAACGGACTTGGATCCTCATCTGAATGGATCTGTATTTTGCAGGATACACATGGCCAACTCTGATTCAGTTAAGGCATAATAATGCTCCTGTTGCATCTCTATTTCCTGCTTCTAAGTCAAAAGAAAACGGAAGAGTGTGTTAAACAGCTGTTATTGCCTAGTTTACCACTGTGGACTTGCAGTCTTTAGCACTGGGTTAGCAGAACACTGCTCCACCTGCAGAACGAAGATGCTCCAGCTCAGCAGGGTTGCTTTTAGCACAGCAATACCCCTGGTGAGGGTGGAACAAGCTCCCATTGTGACATTTTGGCAGGTATAAGTTTTGTGTGAAAACTGATGAATAACTCAAAGCTAGCATATATTTATGTTCTTCCACACTTCTAAATAAAAACTGACCTCTGATCCCCCGAGTCTCTTGGTGAGATATACAAAGCCTGTTAGAGATGAGAGACAGAACATGCATCCACATCTACAGGCTTTGGGTCAAGCTCTTCCCTAACTAAATTTGCCCTAAAATGAAGAGGTTCAACACACGTACGAAAATGCAGCAAAACTCCAGTGTGAGCGATTACAGCCCAGGCTGATGCAAGCAAGAAGAGGCACTTCAGTATTACCAAACCTATACCCAGAGGGAAAACAGGCTGCGCACACAGCAGTGGGAAAAGCCAGCCAGCCACCCATCTGGCTTCAGAAGTCCATCTATTCATACCCCGTTTGCAACAGGTCCAGAGGGTTCTGCTGGGACAAGGGTACCCAGAGGGTACACGCATTCCCAAAAGCTCTTCTCACATCACCATAAGCTACTGCTTTTCCTTGGGATGCTTCACAGCCCTTCAGGGACACCACAGACAGGGCACAGTAAGGATCTGGAGCAGCATCTGGTTAAGAAGTCCTCTCCTACGAGGCACACGACCTGCCCCTAGCCTTTTAATAGCAGAACGATTGACAGAAGAATGCCATACAGCACAGGACACTTTGTCAGGATGTATTTCCAAACCTTTGGCTACCTCAAAGTAAAATTTATTTAAAAAAAAAAAAAAAGGAGTCAAAGATAAAAGAAGGAAAAAAAAAATTGCTAAGTGAATCTTCCTCTGACCAAGTAAGGCTGTGCAGGTTTACTACCCATCTCTTGCACTTTTTACACTGAGTATGGAAATGCATCAAGAAAATACAGGAGAAAGTAACGGTGAAACACCTGTACTCGCACAAGAACCAAGACTTCCCCGCCGCCTTCCCAAGCATGCTCCCCAAAATTTCCTTCGCACCTGCTCTGGCACTTGCCTAGCACCCTCTGCAACTAGCCTAAGCCACCAAGTTGGCAGAAAATTCTTTCCTTCACTGTTTTGCTGCTGTTTCGGGGGGCTCACCCCCCCAGTGCTCCGTCAGAGCTGCCCCTCTCGGTGTTAGCAAAGCACCTTGCTTCCAGCTCAGCCACCTCCCAAAACATCACTGTGCTCTTAAGTTCCTAGTCCACGGGCCAGACTGAAAACAGTTAAAAGCTTTAAAAGTTAATAAAATGAATCAGACACTACTTACTGTCCAAGCTAAATGAAGTAATAGAATAAAAAGAGACAGCAAAGAGGGGGGGAGGGAAAGGTACATCCCATCACTAAAGGCTTTTAATAACTTTTAAGGGCAGCATGTTGCTCTCTACAAACAGAAGAAAGGCTTTCCCCTCCCCCCCTAATTCAGTTGGGACACCCCTTTTTGTAGAAGAGAAAACTTTTAGCCGTTCTGTAAATTCAACCAAAAGCTCAGTGAAATTTCTGATGTGAACACCTCCTCTTTTAGAATCAAAACAACTACGTCAACATTTATGGTTTTAATTAAAGACTTCTGTTCTATCAATATGGGAATGGTATGCTGGTGTAAGTTAACAGACCCTAAACAACCCCAGTACTCCAGTTTTGCCCTCACTATAGGGACCAAACTTCTACAAAACACTTGGCTTAAAAAAAATATATACTGACAGTATTGGTACATTATACTATTAAAACAAAACAACAACATTAAAAAAAATCCAACAGCAAAAACTTGCCACTTCATTCTCTGTGACTATTCAGTTTTGTCAAGATTTTGCTGGAATGCAAAGCCCAACACAAAAGCGGCCATGCTCATACACAGCACGCATGTCAGGACTTTTGCATGGTAGGATACAGACTATCCCAGAGATTTAAATGGTCAGCTTTGATCGATGGCCTCTATACAGAGTCTTAATCTCAGCCATAGTACAAAGAATTCAATTCTTCTACTATGCTTGAGATTTTCCCCTATTGAAAAAAAAAAAAATCAGCTGAACAAAACAAGAGACAGTCTGTCTCTCACAGTCAATAGGGAGGGGGGGAAAAAAAAGCAATTTCAACTTTAATTACATAGACACAACTTTTCCTACATGGCTGAGGCCTTAGGCTCTAATTCTGTTTCAGATGAAGTCAATGGAAAAAAACCTCATTATTTCAGTGGGAGCAAGGCAGAGTGTTCCACTTCCCCTTCCTCCATTTGTGAAAACAACCCCAAAATGCCTACACATATTTTTAAATTATTATAAAACCTCACTTTTTGCTACTTCTTTAAGGGTCTCTCAAGAGCTCCTCCTAAGCTCACGCCATGAACTTTTCAAGAAAGGGAATTACACTAATAGGGGCTAGCTCACAGTGCAGCAAGATGAGGCTGCTTACCAAACACACTGATGTACACAAATCAGAGATAAAAGCCCTTTATTGTATTACTATCACTTAACGGAAGACATACAGCATGCATCATCAACAAAAGATTCTGGCCACAAAGATGTCAGATAGATGTTTGAGGAATAACAACAATAAACCAACACCCTCTCCCCCCAAAATTAATGTGCTGATTTATGTCGTATTTCTAACTTCCTCTGGGTTAAGCGCAAAAACCCCCAGCTAGCCTACTGTCCCCAAACAGCACCCGGTTTGTGTGTCACTCAGACATACCTTCATACCCAGTGCTGAGTAACACATGCTTTAAAAACTCCTTACCCCGCAGAAACACTTAAGCAAACCCATGATAGGGCAGAACACTTTACCTGTGATGTGAGGATCAAAACTACGACTCTCTGCCCAAGACACACCGTAATCCACAGATCTGAGGAGCGGGGAGGAAAGGGAGGGGAAGGGACCTATCTATGGGGGCACGCAGCACACCTCACCCTCAGCACCCCTCCTTAAAAAATCCCGCTCCCCTCACCCCGGAGCTTCTCTGTCACCTACCTAGGCGATGAATCCAGACCCGAGCAGCAGTTGCCCAGCTCCCATCTGCTATTACCTAAGCTGCCGTGCTCGACGTCTTCTTTGGGGAACCGTGCTTGGAGGCCTCATCCTCCTGCCACACGACACCCACAGCTCACCACGGCACAAGGAGAATTACTGGCATCTCGTCACCCGCAGCTCCTCACTTTGTGCGCTCGATCCCAGCGGCTGAAACCCCAGGAGTGCTCCCTCGGGCAGGGCCGTGCCCGGCTCGGCACTCCCGGGGATAGGGACC